GCTTCGGCATCGCATTATAATAATTTATTCCACTATTAACTAATATGAATACGTGCGGCTATAGCAATTGGGATGTACAGTCTGACAAAACAATTCACAGTTTACCATAATCATTTGACTTTTGAATAGTGCAGGTGATAGCTAAATTTAGATTTCCTGTCTTGAAGCAGTAGTAGTAGGCCTAGAAGATCTAGGCGAGAAGCAGCCAGATAGCCTACAACTGCTAGATTTAACTTATTGCTGTATACAGTGGAGTCCACTTATAACGAGTCTGGAAAAAACGAGAAGTCTGTTATAAAAGCACTATTCTAAATCCCCGTTTTTTTCTCCTCTTTACCTTTGTAAACAAAATACTACTATAGCGCTATCAGACACTCTTGCGAGTCGGTTATAGCGGAGTATTGCTGCTGCTGTACACATGGCATAGGCCAGTTATACATAATGCAAGACCTCGCCAGTTGAGAAACTTGTTGCTGACCTTGCGAAACAAAGAATAGGATAGCCCATGTGCGTCAACAATGAAGGCCGGAGCAACTGAGTAGGGAGGGTGTGGCATGCGCAGACAAGCTGGACGCATCGTGTTATAGGCCAGTTTAGATTATCAAGGCCTGCCATGCCTCTCACTTCTCCGATGCAGGGATGGAGAGGTCACAGCAATGTGATGGATGGAGCGAATGTGTGACGTGCGCAAGCAGACAGAATGCACCACAGGGTGGGGTGGGGTGGGGTGTAGGGGGGAACACAGCGGGCGAGTTAGCCCAGAGTCCTTTTTTTCTGATCGCCAACGCCGAACTGTCAGTCCACATCGCTAGATCTAGCGCTAGAGAAACAAACCTGATTCGATTTTTGATCAAGAGGTCATGTTGAAACAAAATCATCATCAGGGGAGATAGCAAAAGGAAAAACAGAACACCAAACTCATAGATTAGGCCTACTTTACAGTTTCCCTTGAATTTATTACTGGATCCCTTATAGCGAGAATCCTGCTATAACGGACATTTTGCTTCGGTCCCTTCCCTCTCGTTATAACAGGATTCCACTGTATATATATATATATATGCCTTTGGGCTTTGGAATTGAAATAAAACGAATTGCACTGTTCTAGTTTAGATTAGATTCAGAACCTAACTATATTTCCAGAGTTAATAATATGAAATCTCACCATAACAATCACTTTTACTTTTATTAGAATAATTAGATCCAAAAATTCTAAAGGCTGTTTTGCGCAAACTTAAGATTTTCTTTACAAGTAGAGCACAGAATTTAAATTGTAGGCTTCTGCACAGTCTTTCAGTACATAATAAAATACTTATAATCGTTTTATGTTTTTTTGTGGATATTTTAGAAACTCTTTAATTATCAAATTGTGCCATTTTCGTTGATAATAAGAATAGCATTAGCAGTGGACTTTTTAGACAGCGAGTCTGAGATTCAATATTTAAAAAAAAATTATATTAATCAATGAAAATTGTTAATTGATAATAGTCCTGTAGTGGATAGGTGGACCCCGCGGTCTGCATAGCCGCGGTCTGCATAGCGAAATACTAGGTTTTAGGATGTGAACCCAGGAGTCACCATAGTAAAATAAGTAGGTTTAGTTTAAGTAAGGCCGGGGTCAACCCCGTGAAATGAGCAGGTTTAAGGTGGACCCTAGGTCTACCTAGCGAAATACTAGGTTTTAGGACAGGTGGACCCCGCGGTCACTGCAGTGAAATAAGTAGGTTTAATTAAGGATTGGTGGACCCCGGGGTCACCGTAGTGAAATAAGTAGATTTAGGTTTAATTTTAAGGATTGGTGGACCGGGATCACCGTAGTGAAAATAGGTAGGTTTAAGGTGGATCCCAGGGTCTACCTAGGGAAATACTAGTTAAGTTTTAGAATAAATGGACCCCAAGGTCACCATAAAGAAATAAGTAGGTTTAATCGGGGTGACCCGAGATTCCACATTACACTACGGCCATGGTGACCACGGGTCCACCAATCCTTAATTAAACCTTCTTATTTCACTACGGTGACCCCGGGGTTCCCCAATCCTACTACAGTCCGTGCTGGCTTAAAGCACGCCGGCGTAAAGCACGTTTTGAACTCAAGCATGCTAAACGGCTCTTACCGGCAGCAATGCGTGCTCAGTCTCTTTGGGGAAGTTTATATATATTGAAGGAAGAGGCTAGCCGTACTATTTCTTAATATGATGGCTAGACTGACCATTAAAAAAAAATAGGCCTACTGAATTGTAAATATAAATTTTTAGTGTGCAGTACCTAAAGTATTTGTATTTGAGATGAAACCAGGTGCCTTAATGACAGTGCATGTATTTTAAACCTCCTGTTTTCTAATGTTAATAGGGCCTAAGATAAGTACGGCTAGACTGGCAGTCTAGCCGTACTTAAGGACGGCTAGACTGTCAGGCTAGCCGTACTAATATTGATGGCTGAATTGTACATGAAATTTTTAGTTTGCAATGCCTAAAGTATTTGTATTTCAGACAAAACCAAAAGGTGCCTTACTGACTTGCATGTATTTGAACCTGAATAATTTGTAGCAGAACACAGCACTACACCACAAAGTTAAAACGACATCATAAATGATAAACGAAATCTCTTACCGTGGTTGTTGAGTATTTAATTTAAATAAATGTAGTACATTGTACGTTTCCTGCAGTGAGTCGACCAAGGCTCTGTCCCCTTACCCTCTCTCGTCCGATTGTTCCTCGATTGTCCCTCGATTGTCCCGCAGAAAGCCGTGACTGGCTGATTATATACACTTTCCTGAACTCCTCTACGCAAGAACCCCTCCCTGCACGAGATATCCGTGCCACTCCGCACGGGAACCCGCGCCCCGAGGAAATCTCGTTACTTGTGCACACAACATAATTACTAGATCTAGATCTAATGAAACCTGTGTACTTAACAGGCTTGAGTCGATAGGGCCAAACCTAGATCTAAGTACGGCTAGACTGGCAGTCTAGCCGTACTAAAGACTCTCAGTCTAGCCGTACTAGCCACTTCGTATATTGAACTAGTTGGTTCATTAAAAAATGTGGGAGCAAAGCTGAGAAACAAAATAAAGGCTCATGAACGGGCATGATGAAATGACAGAAGTTGCGATGGGGAAGTTTTTTTTGCTTATAATATCCTCCATATTGATTAAAAATAAGTCAACAAGTGTATTAAATAACCCCTTTCGACTTAAAGTAATCCCCATTTTGTTTGTCTCTTTATAAAAGTCTTCTTTTTGCATCATTAAGTAGGCTAAGAATAGAACATGAAAATGACGAGAAACATCATGTCCATTTCCCAGAGTTGTCACCCAGTCTGGGGCTTTCTCCTCGACAGTTTATTGCCAAAATTCTTTCTTTTCTTAATTAAACACTCAACCTTCTGTCACAGAAACAACATGAAAAGTTTAGCAGTTTTCTTTCCTGCATTAATTTCACTGTACTGTTTACTTCATTAAAGTTACCATCTATATAATGTCACATTTTGACTGCTTACATTTTTGTGTGTTTTCCACATGATTTTGTAATTTCACTAAATTGAGTCATTGGAACAAGAAATGCTTTCTAGATAGGGCTATATATCTTCATTCAAAGTACTTGACAATACTCCGAAATTTGCGCATCATTTTAGCATATTCGCTGCTTTTTTGAGGAGATGAAAATATGCCCTGTTTAAGCAACCAACTTTTGAGACTTTGGCATATTATGTTGCATTTGAGATTTCAATGTTTACATTTGAGCTTGGTGGGATGGGGATGGGGGGATGTGACTTCTTCACTCGAAATGCATCTTTGAGAGGTTTCTCACTGGTACTTGGGTGACTAATTTTCAGTTAGGCCTATGATGCATGGCGGGCATGAATTCTGTAGAACAGTAGGTAGACTTTAAGATTAACGATTAAGTCAAGTAATCAGCTGTGCTCGAAGAACGTACAACGTACTTGTTCAACGGGACTCTCAGAATGTCTGTTGCCATTAGTGCATTTACCAAGTTGCAATAGATGATCACCAACAGTTTCCTCTCATCTTATCTGTTCCCAAACATATTGTGCACAACCATAGATGATAGAGTGCGTCGGTCTTTTTGCTCTTTTCTTCCACTCATTCTATTCCTCTGTTGACGTAATTGCGATAGGGGAGTCCTTTATAAAACAGTCATGTTTCATCGCATTATCAGTGAATGCAAACCCCTGATCCCCAAGGGAGGTAACAGTCATCATCACCAAGTGCTAGATCTGCAACTGACATCGGGGATCATGATTCTCTATTTATTCCTTTGCTCGGATGCTCTTTAAAAAGCTACATTATCCTTATCTTTCCCAGTCACCCATCTGTTTATGCTCCCAAAGTAGGTTGCACTGGGCCTACCACTGTCTTGTTTGCCTTCAATTTTGCCAGTGATAACTCCTAAAAAACCACATTTCTGTTGCTTCTATTTTATTTTCAGTATATATATATTATAGCCTTTTCAGAAAACTTTCATTTTGGTAGTCATTGAAATGTTTCTATTTTTTCTGGATTGGGCTCATTTTATTGACACTATCCTTAGCCATTGCAATTCTTCACTTAATTCTGTGGATCATTTGGCATCAGATGTAATTATATGTCCTAGATATTCAAACTGTTGAACTTGTTTGATCTTTTCGCCTTTGCTTATGAAATTACAAACAGGATTAACTGGTTTTTTTTAAAATGTATCACGATGCGTTATGTTTTCTTCACATTCAACAATAACCCTTTAAGTAAGGTCACTTTCTGTTACAACAGTTTGTACAAAGCGATTGAAGGCTCTTTCCTGAACCTGCTATTAAAACTGTGTCATCGATGAGGTAACAGTAGTCACTAAAATATCAAGGAAATGAGATAATTGCATCCCTTTCTCACTTTGCACAGGTTTGCATAAATGGACACTTCATGTAAACGCACACTTTGGAGCCCTCTGGAGCATAGTACGTTTGGGCAGAGATTACTACATATTATACCTTTTGTCATCTTTTTGCAGGGTCTGTTTGCTCAGAATAAGGAGAAGCTGATCAACCTGGCACTGTCCTCATTAATTGAGCGTGAGGGTGACCAGGATAAAGTATCCAACGAGTGTTTGGAGGCACAGTTCCACGCCCTGCGACGCCTTGTAGCTTCTAAAGCTGGCTACCAGGGATTCACAGAGATACCGAGGTACATTTTGGGTTTCGGTGGTTGTTACACTATGGAAGACAACGGACAGAGTTTGTGAAATAGCATTCTCATGAGCTTCTGTTCCATAAGAAGTTTTCATAAGTTTTTGACTGATTAAATAACGCTCAAGTTTCTAGATTTATGATAAAATCATCAAAAGGAATCAAATTTCCCTACAGACATAGACTTCGCATGTTAAAATGTTTTTCAAGTTTGCAGTTTTAATATATTAAAGTTCTTTTTGATATTTGACTTTAAAAAACTGTTTTCTTTCTCTATCACTTGACAAACTTTATTTTTATTCTACTATACTGTACTGCTAAAGCAAGAACTGTAAGCGGGTCTTTAATCTACCATTTCTGTCTAAAATCCCAGAAAAGGTTGCTCAGTTTCAATGAAGGGGGAGGGCAACACCTGAAGGCTATCTTGCTTATTAGGGGATCAAATTTTACCATATTTCATATATATATAACAAGCATAATGAGGAGTCCTAAAATGCACAATCCAATTTGAGAAAAAACGTTTCGTTGCCTTGGAGGTGGCAGACATATTGGATTTTGTTGATATGTCTTTGGCAATGAATACCGCCTTTCTTTTTCATTGAAATAGGTTGTTATTTTGCATGCATTTAAGCAGACAATAGATCTACAAATGTGTCTATGAATTTTTCTTAAACGAATGATACACTTTTTAATGAATTTTTTCCTGAGGTAGTATTCAAGTTTACTGAAAATCCACACTCCAGACACCACCAAAATAAATCTATTCTGTGTATCGAAAATTTAACAGACAAATTTTTTAGTGTTACATCTTCTCTTCATTCTGTAGAAATTTTTATAAAGATTGGATAAAAAAATGGTGGAGTATATAGTCAAAAAAAGTATATAGAAAAACCGCGTTTGAGAAAAAGTTTTATAAAGAAAAAATGAAAAATAGACTTTAAGAGGACATGGTGGTGACTAATTAGATATGCCTGGTAGGTGAAAAAATAAGGCTAAAGGGGTTTCTCATGTGATGAAATAGTTGCAAGAGAGGCTGAAGAAGGCAAAAATGCAGACACCTAAAATTTCATGATTTTGACTCCCCCTACCCCTGCACATTATGAAGAAAATAATCTCTAGAATGTTATCAGTCAGCCCATAAAGAGTTTTACAACACACTCTATCGTATGATAAAGCTGTTGGAATCCTCAGTGACACTTATTTAACTTTTTACTCCCAGAACAATATACTTGGGGAACCTAAACAAATGGGTAACTGTGAAAGATCAGGGAAACGTAGCTTTTTTGAGAGCATCCGAGCAAAGGAATGAATGGAAAACCATGATCGCCGATGTCTGTCGCAGATCTGGTACTGGATGATGATGATGACCCCCAGAATTATTTCCCACATTTTGAAGGAATTTTTTCCAGATCTCGTGAAACACGTAACGGGGTAAAAAGTAAAGTTGTTCCCGCATCCGATCCGGACATTGGGGATTGCTTTGTTAGTTAGGCAACTTCCTGGGCCTGTGGCATATTATGGTAGGGTGGCCCGTAACGGGGTATACAGGCAAAATGTTCATAAAATGGTTAAAACTTCTGAGTCAAAATAAATTTATTTGCATTTGAAAGAGATTGCATTGGCAGTAATGTTTCATGCACTATGTAATCTGACGAGATGCTGGGACCATCCACCTAGGGAATAGGCTCCCATCGTCCACACAGGGTTAGAGAGTTAAAAGCGACAAATGGGATCTTTACCCACCACTTTCTTTCCACAAGAGTTCAAAAGCTCGGTGAGTCCATTGAAAATTTTCTACTTGACCCTTGGTGCTTGAGCACAGATAGTGATTTTACAGCTGTCTCTGCAAATGAATACAGAGATGGGATGACTGGAGATGCCTTTATTAATGGCCTTTCATCCTGTTTTATTCACTAATGATTCCTTGAGCCCCGATTCCTGTCTTTTGGCATCACAATCACCCAGGCACACTTCTTAGACTGCTCAAAGAGCGTCTAGCGCCTATACTAGTCCCCTGAATGCTGCAATGCAACTCACCGAAGCCACTACAAAGGCTAACATAGACACCATAGTAGCTGCTACCTACAAACCAGCATCACCAACATTTTCATGTCCTCAGAAAATGTGTTTCTTCTGTGGTCAGACTCAGACGTACCCTGACTGGAAACGATGCCCGGATCGGGACCGACACTGTAATAAATGTGGACAAAGGGGCCATTTCACTAGGTTTTGCAAGTCCTCAATCGTAACATCTTTGCTTGGGATGGTGTTGCCAGGCAGTCTGAGGTCAGCGATAGTTCCTGTTTCCAACGCCAGTCATTGATTCACCACCCTGATGGATACAAACAGCTCAGACAGCTTGATCAGGGAAGAAATCACCCGAAATCTGAACATACAAATGTCAAAGTCATTTCGAAAGGTCACAATGGCAACGAAAACACTCTCCATACAGTACCTCGGCCAGTGTGACATCGGCACAAAAATAGAGAGTTTTGCTGTCGGAACACTTGACCTGGCATAATTCATAAAATGTGCACGGGTGTTTTACTTGAGCAGGACCTTCAGAGATAACCCCCATTTTCTAATTTTTCTCATATTCGAGTATGGCAGCTCACATGCAGATCTCAAAATCTCTCTCAAAGATAGCCATTGTGCTGTTTCTGTGGTTTACAGTGCGGCCCATGTCTATTTTTCAAACTCATCATAAAACATAATAAGCATGCGCATTCTTTTACTTCAGTGCACGATTAATTGAATGTGATGTTTAAGTTATTTGCACTGTGTCTTTCTCTAAATTTCTGTTTTAAAGGTTGTAATGTTTAATGATTTTGTTATTGTTTTTGTATTTGTTTTTATGGAAGTGTCGAGGTAGAACCCAGTTGGGGACTACGTAGTCATGGTGTCTAGGTAGACCCCAATTGGGGACTGCGTAGTCGTAGTTTCTCAGTGGTACCCAGCCACCGTGGCTCCTGTAGACCCCAATCTATCATCATGTGTCTCTGTCTTGTTCCCTCCACTTTACACTCTAGTATAGTCTTGCAGATTAAGGAATGGCATTTTATGTGTCCAAAATACTGTAATTTTCTTGTTTTTATCTGTTGTAACAAATCTGGACTTGTGTTTAGAAGGTGGCAAACTTGTTCATTTCTCTTCGTCAATCTCTATGTCCAGTGCGTCCATAAAGTCCTGACACTGCACTGGGACCTATTTTTTTATATTTTAGTGTGTTTATTTCCCTTTGTTGTGCTTGGTTACAATATGAACATGTCTACTGATGCACACTTGCTGTGTTTTGAAACTACAATAAAATAGAGAAAAATTAGGCCACAGTGCAATGTCAAGATTTTGTGGACACACTTTCTATTTGCATAGGAGGGCCCACTTGGCAATTTTTGGTTGCCTAAAACTCCAAAACCACCCAACCATATGACTGTAAAATTTACAGGGTACGTTAGCGGTAGTTGAAGAGTGCACATGGCACATGTATATATTTATAACTTAATTTTTTCTTCTTTTTAATTTAAAAAAAAAATTGTTCCACAAGTGATTCTTTCTTTTTCTCCTTTAATTAAAATTTTTTTAAATGGCCGTTTTCGCTTTAAGCACTGCGAAAATTATCGATTTCTGTTTTGAGAGTATAGATCTAGACCTTATTACTTCTTTAAAAAAATTAACTGGGGATCAGAGGTCACAATCAAACATTTTTGGGGAGCACCTAGACATCATGACTACGTAGTCCCCAATTGGAGTTTACCTAGACACTTCCATGCAAAAGAACAAACTCATCAAACAATATCCTGACACAGAAAACTATCTTCACCGGTGTCTCCAAATCAGCTGTCCGCAAACATCACTCATCAAAGGAAGTTTCATCATGAGGCCTCCATATTTATTATGGAGGTCACTGCCATTGACATTGCATGTGACGCTGTGAAAAATTCTCCCAAATTATCTTTTCTCATTCTGTCCAATTCCTTGTCAAGTCTCACTTCTCTTACCAGTTTCATACTCTCGAACCCTAAAATCCCGCCTCTTAAATAGCCTAATAATGTTGATGGAGGCTTTAAACCCGTACCATTTTCAAACCCTAAAATAGTTGAATTACAGTTAAAGTTTCCCCCTCTTTGACGAAACAGAGAAAGCATATTGTGTTTGCATGGCTACCTAGCCATGTAGGCATCTGAGCAGGTTGATCTTCTGGTGAAGGAATTTTTGTCCCTCCTGTTCGGATCAACAGAAAACACTTTTCCACGTTCAGACTTAAAAATAAGGTTAAGAGTCTTTCTCCAGTCTGGAGGAGGAGCAGTGGGGTGAACAAGTGAGTAATTAACTACCCAATATAATGCTCAAGTTTGGTCCACAAAACCTTCAAGTCTGTCCAGAAGAGACAAAGTTAAGGCAGCCGGTATTTTCACACCATGTCGTGGAAATAAAATCTATGCCGAAAAAAAGAGACCACTCCCGACCACATATTGTCAACGACCAGTGAAAACTCTTTCCAAACTCATAAAATCATTGCTCTGGACTGGCCTGCAAGACCAACAAGCCTTAACGGAACAGAACATCTGTAAGATGACCTTGACTGGAGGATTAGAATAGGTCGCACTCCGTATAAGCTCATCAAATACATAAGGCTGCACCGCACAAGGAATTGCAGGAGATTCTTCAGACAATCATAAGGAAATTAATTCAGTCAATGAACAGACGTATTGTATAGGTAATTCAAGCTGGAAGAAGCCACAGGAAATACTGAGCAAACTTTGATTTGGATTTTGCAAGGGCCAGTGTGAATACAATTATTTCCCTTGAATGGGGAATTGAAAGACATTTGTCAATTCTTTTCATGTCACGTTGGCAGAAAATGAATAAAGATCGCATGTAACAAATTTCTCTTGGCTCTGTTGAATAGTAAATGAGTTATTGTATTTTTAAGGTGGGTGTGACAGAACTTTTGCAACACTGTATATCTCACATGGACCCCAATCCTTTGGGATCCGTGTGTGACATCTCCTTTGGTGTATCTTCCCCGTCTCCTTCCTTCTCACTTCCTTCTTCTGTCTTCTCCGCTGACATCATCTGCAGCAAAACTAGATGTCTTCCATCCCACAGAGTGGGAGCCTTGTTGACCGTGAGGTGCGGCCTGTGCGGAGGGAAACTGGATACTTAGTGGTTGAATTGAATTGAGACCAGTTTGCGGACTGTCCCTCGCCAACACACTTCTTTGGCTCTCATCAATCTATATGATTACCCCAGCTGATAGCATTCTGAAACAACCTAACTTCCTTGGAAGCATACAGTGCAAGCTGCCATTTTATAGGTGCTAAATACACGGACAAACGAACTAGGTCTTTCACTGTCTATGGCCAGGTACCTATTACCACCTGAGGGAAGTGAGGAAAATTTGTCTTAAGTCACTTTCCTAAGAACACAACATCGGGCCTGAGACCCCTGAACCCGCCACCTCACGATTACGAGTCCGCTAGCTAACCACTAGACTACTGACACCACTAAAACAAATACTGACCCCAGTTCACAATGTTCCCAAAAAGTCTCGGCTTGCGGGAGCTGACTGCTTAGACGCACAAACAAAACCCAACAGGAAAAAAGGACCTTTATGGCTGCAAGGGTTTGGTTGAAGCTGGCCGGATTCCTCTTCAGTGTAGGGAGATCATACTTGAAAATACTATTGTATTCACGTTTGAATTGTGTCGTCCTCCTGCCTCGGTTCGGGCATCTTATTTGGTCATTGACGTGTGACCCTCTGTGCCGATCCCTCTGCACTGCTTCAAGTGTCAAAGGTCAGACCATAGCCAGTTGTTTGTAGACGAATAGCCTTGTTTCCTCTTTGTAGAAAGACCGAGTATCCTGAAAAGGAATGCAAGACTAGTTCTTGCTGTGTCAATTGCCATGGCCAGCACACTGCTTTCAGCAAGGAGTACCCAACTTGGCTCCATGAATGCTCCATCCAAGAATACAAAGCGCAAAATGGCTGCTCCTGTAGAAAAACTGTCTGCCCAACAGTTGTAATCCAGGTCCCTGGCCAGTCATATGCGAAGGCAGCCTGGCCAATCACAAGGATGGTTAGCACTTCAACTGCCAACCTCACACAGCCCATGGTCGAAAGCTATATCTCCAATGTGTTGGAGAAACACAGGAGCAAGCAATTGAACAGCAAACTCCACAGTGTTATGCCCAAACTGGGCCCATAAAAGCCTTCAGGCCTTTTCAGAAGAACCGAAGTTGTTTTACTAGTTCACTAAATAAAAACCTCCTGCAGGGAGATGAGAAGCCCTTTTGTATTGGATGCGATACAGGTTTTGCACATACCAACAGAAAGTCCAGACTTTGGAGAGATTCAAAGAATTTTTTTGATCCCATCAGAATTCTTGATTTTACAAAGGCCATTAGGGTTTATTAAGAAATGCAGATAGTTGTTATTTTAAAAACATTTAGAAAATGTAAATTTGCTGTTTTTAGAACTAAATTTTTGCTGTAAAATGTTGAACCTAACCACAGAATAAAATCAAAGCGTGCCGTGAGCTGGCATGAAAACATCTGACTTTTGTTTCATGGAATCATATGAAATTTTGTTGTTGTAAACACCGTAAAATTCTTACTAAGCTTAACTAGACAGGAAGGAAATGATTTAAATGCAATAATTGAAAGAATTTTGTTCTCCATTCTTGATCCCAACAGAATTCTCGATTTTATAATGGTCTTTACTCTAAAATGTAAATAGTGTTATTTTAGATTATAAATTGCTGCTTCTAAAACTGAATTTTTAATGTATATTCTTAGATACTTCCACCATTCTGACTTGCAAAGTAAATCTATACCAGCTGTGAATTGATGTGAAAACAACCAGCTTGTGTCCAACAACAGGCTCATATGACCTTATGCAGTTGTGAGTGTAGTAAAACTTTTGCAAAATTAATATTTTCTTTGTTTTATTGGAAAGTGCAAAGAGCTTTTTTAAAAGTGGAAATGCGCTATGAAATGCAATTTATTATTGTTTGTTATTGCTTTCCTGCCATTCAATGTGGCTTGTTAAAGGGAGCTCTTTACTCATACAAATCTGCCCTTCTGTTGTACAAAAAATCTGTCTGGCAGGATGAGAGAGAAGGTGGGTCTGAAAGTGGTGAAGGCGCTCAAGAGAAACAGTGACGCTATAACACATGCTGCTCTTGACATGTTGTGTGCACTCATGCAGGTGAGGGATTGCTACACTTCTTAGGTTTGGTTTTTATGATACATTTTTTCACATCTAGTCTCTTTTGCTCTAACAAAAGGCACTTGTGACTGGCGTCTGGGGTGTCGTGATTATACTCCTCACTGTCGTATGCAGAAGATATTAGTTCTGTTCCTGAATGTAGAAGGTATTTTTCCAGAACAGTATATTTCCTATACATCTGTCTGCTTAAAGACTGTATCTCTCTGTTTTCCTTGACAGGGTCAAGGCAGCACAAATGATGTAAATTGTATTGATGGGGTTGTAAAACATGTCCAATCATTATACTATACAGTCTGTCACAGCTCTTGTATGTTTGTACTTAAATGTTTGCATTTTAGTCCATGTGTTTAGGGGATGTTCCCATTATGGGTAAACAAAGATCAAGTGGAAGAAGTTTCTGTAACCTATCAAATGATGAGACATGACTGTATGTCTCTGATCTGTTTCGCAGTGTGTGGTTTAAGGATATCTCTGGTAGGTCCTGCTTCTTTCTTTTCCTCTTCCGTCTGCTAATTCTACCTGTCTGTATTGATTTTTCCTTGCACTAAATTATTATGTCAGTGTGCTTCTCATTACTCATAACTTTTTAACTCTTCACTCTTCATCCATATTTTTCCCATTGACCCATAGCATATCACACAATTTACTTTTGTGGTCTTTTTTTTTACATTAAGTTTGGCTAGTGATTGGGGATGCTCCACTGTCTTATGAGTTGATCCTATTACTACTTATCTCTTTTCTTATTATGCTGTTGCTTCTTTGTGAAATGAAATGGTACTACTGTTGTTTCACAGGGTGTCTAAATAAAGAGGACCCACTTAAAGGGCAATAACTCGTCCATCTTCACACTAATTTCGACAAAACTTGGAACAAATAAAATTTGCAAATGTGAAGAAAATTGATCTACATGTTTGAGAAATATCAAAGTTAAAAAATTTCAATCAAAATTGGGTAAAATGCATTATTTTACTTCATAGCAATGTTTTTTTTTTTGGTGCTGAAAATTTCCTAGAAGTTTGGGGAAAAGGTGCTGTAGAGGCCTGATTCCAGTGGGATGGGGGGCCACACCCCACACATCTAGAGTGGTCCTTGTAGGGTTGTAAGAAAGGGGGGGGGGGGGTGAGGGTCTACGGAAGCAACCCAGAAACTATTCAATAGTTAAAAACTCAATGTTGAAAATGACGTTCAAAGAATGGACCTAGAATCTTGCCACATGGTTATTCAAAATTTCCAGTGGCATACTGGAGCTTGTAGGGAGATAAATGGTCAACACCTGAAGATTTAAATAGACATCACCATGATGTTTGGCAAGATCAATTTTGTTTAAATGTGTTCTTCAATGCACAAGTAGTGACTATTTGAAATGGAACAGTATTGTTGATTTTAAAGAAGTTAAAAAATTTTGCGTTTCACTGGATTATTGTTGAAATTTTTAGAATTTGATGTTTTCCTAAGAATTTTGTTGATTTCATTCACATTGACAAATACAACGTCCTCATAACTGGATTTTATTTTTTCGAAGTTTTGTTGAAATTGGTCCAAAGATATTAACCAAGTTATTGCCCTTTAAATGGGTCCTTTTTTTTGACACTCGGTTATTTCAGTCCTACTAATTGCTGTCTGGAGCCGCTCGTAGACTAATATTTTTATTATTTTGCCTTATACTTTTTTAAAGTAATTTTTTTAAAACTTGTTAACAAAACTGGCCTAAAATCATAAGCCTGGACAGAATTGACCTCTTTGTGAGGACAGCTCATTTGTTATGAACCGGAAGTTGGATGAAGCAGACAAACAATATCTGATCATTTATTTTTTGTTTGGCAGTTCTTAAATTGTAGAACCTGGCTTTGTTTTTGTACTCTATCCCGTGCCAACCTGCCATCCCCCCTCCATTTTTCACCCCACCCAGGTGTAAAAGGGGTAGATGTACCAAATAAAGACAGTGATGATTTTGTGAATGTAGGTAGTTCGCACGTAACAGGCTGCAGCATCTGTAAGAGTTGATGGCCTCTGGACGGCTCCGGACAGCAATTATTAGGACCTGGTTATTTAAATTACAGCTCAACAGCACTTTCTAAAACTCAAAATAATTTACTGTTTGATGCAGCCCATGCACGACAACTATGACCTAAGACAGGAGCAGCTCAACAAGACGTCACTTATGTCTTCTAGAAAGTTCCTGGAGACCCTTCTCGAGATGTTCAACGAACATGTGGTATGTGCTTCACCGCTATTCCTCTCTGGTATTTTTCTGGTTTATCCTGACCATTTTTGAAAATACACTATGTTCGAACTTATGTAGTAGTTTCAAGTACAGTAAAACTCTTATACTAGACTATGTTAAACATCAAAATCAAATAAATAACGCTTCTCGTTATGGAAAGTGAACATAAATAAAATGATTTTAAAAAAGAAATTACCACTTTAATAACCCCCAGTGCGGAAATTTGGCTCTTATCAGCCAGTGTAAGGGGACTGCGAGGAAATGTCTGCCATTAAAATTCAAATAACTCAAATAATTGTAAATTATTTAAGTGAAATATTTAGTTTAATTAAATTCAGGGACTGGGTGTGTCAATGTGTAAAACAAATTGAACCAGTCATTTTGGAATTATAACATTTTAAAAGAAAGCTCCTGAAGTTGGGAAAAAAATAAAAACAGAATTAATGTGGAAAATTTCAATCACATGCTCATGCATTGACATTTTTGCTTCAAAGTCAAAGCTATATCTACACTAACATTTGACATCAAATTGTGTATAAAAATTTTAATCAAAGTGATAGATCGTAGGACAGCCCTCCAGGTTATAACTGTGTGGGTCACCCAGCACAGACCAGTCGCAATCTGCTCTGTATGAGGTGGGTTCAATAAGTCTTTGGTCTGGGTATGAAGAAATCATGGTAGAGTTGGGTATGAAAATTTATGGTAGAGTAATAATTGCCAGCCTTTAGACAATTTCTTTGGAACACACCATGCAAATTTTCGGGAAAATCTGACTATAAAAAGGCACTAGGCAGCGTGATCAATGAAACCATGCACAAAAACAAAACGTTTGGTTTTTCTTTTCTGAAGCTGTGCCATGGAGCCTGTTGAATGTCACTCAGTTATCAAGTTTTTACACTTGCAAGGAAAAATCACTTTCAGACATTTTTCAGGAAATGGTCCAAGTTTATGGTGACGAATGTCCTCATTATAATACTGTGACATGCTGGGTAAGAAAATTGAAATCTGGATTCATGTCGGTGAGGGATGAAGATCGTGAAGGGCGCTCACCCTTTGTGGTAACTGAAGAGAATGTATCCGTAGTGAAGAAACGTATAACAGTTCAACAGCTCTCAAGTGAAACGGGAATCAGTGTAGGGTCAATTGAATCGATTCTTTATGACTATCTTAACAGGAATAAGGTGTCTGCACAGTGGGTACCCTGCCTTTTGACAATTGAGCAAAAGAAGCGGAGGGTTGAGTTCTGCAAAACCCTCCTTCGAATTGAGTTCGATGACACAAATTTCTTTATAAACATGGTGACTAAGGATGAAGGCAAAGGTAACGCCGTCAAGTGGAAAGGTCATGCTGTCGTGTTTGTGGGATTGTGAAGGTATCATCATGACTGTCTGCCTGGAAAATGGAAAAACAGTCATAGGGGACTACTATTCAGGTTTGCTGATAAAACTGCTGTCTGAATTGGTAAAAAAAAGGCCTGGAAAACTTCGTAATGGGGTCCTCCTACTACATGACAACGCCGCTGCGCTCAGGGCAAAACAAACAGTCCAGACAGCAGAACAGTGAAGCTTTGAAATCCTGCCAAACCCAGATTATTCACCCCACCTAGCCCCTTCATTTTTTTTTTCTGTTTCCTAATCTTAAAAAATCACTGAAAGGACGTTGTTTCCATGACAACGAGGCCACCATTGAAGCCGTGGAAGACTGGTTCGGGGCCCTTTCTGGGTCTTTTTTTTTTTCAAGAACCTTTGAAGGTCAAAGAGAGATGGCAGAAATGTGTTACTCTGCATGGTGACTATGTAGAGAAATGAAAGTATGTGTGCCAAGTTGCAAAGCTCTATCTTTATTCCTTCATATCATTGCCGTTGTACACAGACCTTTCTGCCTGTGTACACCAATCACAGGTTAACATCTATTAAACATGTTAGATTTCCAAAATAGTTCTTCCTGGCAACCATCACAACAACACGTTTTGTCAATAGCTAAAGACTTTAACGTGATGCTGTATAAGACAGGTCTGTATGAGCATCAACAGTGCTGATGACCAAATTGAAATTTGTGTCTTGAAAAATCTGTATACGGGAAAACTCAAGTGCCATTGAAGACATAGTGAACAATGTTTTCTTGCACGAGACACCAGAATTAGATCTTTGTGTGCCATGCTTTGACAAGTCAAGTTTTCCATTGGTTACTTTTCAACATCCCGAAAAAATCGCCAGTGACCACATTTAACCCAACTCAAACAACTTCTACCACTTCTGGAGAGTCCCTTTCGGTTCCAACAAGTTCTCTTGATGCTACGTCGCAGTGTGACATAACTGAAATTTCAGTTATTAGGTATTAGACTTAAACAACTTTAGTTTTTTGTATTAGATTAAGCTTGAATGTTACTTTACTGTGTCAAAAAATGATTACAATAGGGTAATTCTGAGAGTTTTGGTGATTTATTGAAATACCCCCAAAAACACCAGTCTTCAATGCTTGTGACTGGTGAAAGGGCCCAGTCGCAAGTGAGTTAAAACATTTGTACATATGTTGTCTCAGTCTTGTGTGTTGTGTCTTTAGTCTGAAGATAATCACTTGTTCTTGGCGGGACAGCTCATGGTAGCCACCCGGTGTCTGAGGTGCTTTAAATAGTGTATTTATAATAGTTTTTATTTCTGTGTAGTTAACGCTGTTGTCTGGTTGCTCTTTCTGTGCTCCTAATTTGGCCATCCTGTGTGCTTGCTCATTTCCTAAGACACCACAATGTGATGGAATCCACTGCAGCATGATCCTCAGACATGGGATGTCCTCACTCAGTTTCTTTTCGTAGCCTTGGTAGTTTGCCAGAAGTGATTGCCTGCAGTACTGACATGGCATCTGTTAGGAACACTATTTGGCTTTGGGGGTCTACCACATTCTTGATGATGTTTGCTGCATGTATTAGAGCCTCCGTCTCTGCCCTGTAGTTTGTACAATGTCGCCCTGTTTGGACTGTCTCTGCTTGTCGTCGTTCATTTGGGAATTGTACGTACACTCCGGCTCCTCCTCTTTTCACAGCATCAGTGGCAGATCCATCTGTATAGATCCTTATCCATGCTTCTCGTGGGTATCTTTGTTCAAGCATGGACAGGGTGAGGGACTTCTTGCTCAGGTCGCTGTGGTCATCTTTTGTGGTGAACATAGGAATGGACGTGTGTATAATTATGTTTGTGTTTGTCTTTTCCCATGATGGTGCCTCTGAGGTGTGGTTCAGCATGTTCACTGTGGCTGGTAGATGGTCCTGTAGGGATATTTGGATTTTTCTGCTTTCTTTGATGAAGTTGGATCTTTTTAGTCTTGTGGTGTTTGAACCACCTTCCTGTCTTCATTGACAATTTTGTACAAAATATTCCTTCAACTCAAGGTTTGTGTTGGATCTTCCCATACCGATCCTCACCAACAGGAAGAAGGTGTTTCCCAGGGCTGCATCCTTTCCCCTTTCCTCTTTGAAATTGAAATAAATTCCATCACTAAGGCCCTCCAAAACAACATAGACAGCTCCTTATACTTTCTGATATGCTGAGGAACCAGAAATCCTTAAGTAAGATCTATGGAAAGACAGCTGCTGACGGATGCTTGTTCATCATCATTATCATTGCCTTTCTCACCCTTGATCAAGATACGAACAAATACTTTCCACCTTTTCCTACCATGAGCTAATTGCTTGATGTTATCCCATGTCTTTCCACTTTTCTGTACATCCTTTTCCGTGACTCTTCTCTAGGTTCCACGTGATCTTCCCCTTGATCTTTTACCCTGTGGGTTCCAATCTAACGCTTTCAATGCTACACAGCTGCTTGACTTCCTGAAAATGTGTCCAATCCATCACCAACGCCTTCTTCCCTCCTCATATCTGACTGAGCTCTGTCTCGTTCTTCTTAATACTTCCTCATTGGTGATCCTGTCTGTCCATCTAATCCTCAGTAACTTCCTCAGACACTTGTTCAAGAAAACCTGGATTCTCTTTATGCCCGTCTGAGATTCATAATCCATGTCTCACATCCATAAAACAAGGCTGACTTGTCATTTGAGTTAAAATTCCTCAGCTTTGTTCGTTGTGAGATATCCCTGGTCCTCCAAATCCTGTTCAAAGAAGTAAATGCAGTCTGTGCCTTTCCAATGCGGGACTTTATTTCTGAAGGATTCAACATCTTGTAGTGCATTTCCAATGTTTACTCTGTATGTATGTATGTATAGTATAAGGTTTTACGGCGCTCGCAACTGCTAAGGTCATATGAGCGCGCAATGTTTACTCTGACAAAAAACCCTCTTTTTCTCGAAACTGCTGTGACCAAAAAAAAAGGCGTTTTGACAGCTTACGGCTGTGCATATTAAACATATCCCCCGACACATGAATGTCTTCTTTCGAGATAAGAAAGACGATTTTGTATTGGACATTGACTCTATACTATCAGACATAAAGTGACAGAATGCCTGGACTTTGGAGAGACTGAAAGAACAATTTTTAATATAATTATATAGGATAAATTTAAAGAATTTGTTCTCTGTCCTTGATCCCAATAGAATTCTCGTTTTTTACAAAGGTCTTTATGGGATAATATAAACTGTTCATATGAATATGTTAAAGTGAATTTTCACGATATTATATTGATGTAACCAATTTGGACCCGCAAAATATAATCGAGCCATGTTATGAACATGAAAACAACAAACTTATGTCCCGTGCCTTCATGTGACCTTACACAGTTGCGAGCACCCTAAAACTTTTAACTAAACTAAACTGAAAGTGTTTACCTCGGATTAAAAAATTTGAAGTTTATAATTTTTAATGATTAAGTCAGATTTATTTTATAGCTGTAGAATGAAGATTCTCCACATCTTGATTTTTTTAAAGGCACAAGCCTCTTTATGAGTATCAGGTCTTTGCACATTAGTTTTTGCTTGTTTCCGTCTCCAGCAGTCTCAGACTTGGTAACAATCCTTATAATTTGGTTGCAGACTTGGTAACAATCCCCATAGCAGTGTCAGACTTGGTAACAATCCCCATAGCAGTGTCAGACTTGGTAACAATCCCCATAGCAGTGTCAGACTTGGTAACAATCCTCATAGCAGTGTCAGACTTGGTAACAATCCCCATAGCAGTGTCAGACTTGGTAACAATCCCCATAGCAGTGTCAGACTTGGTAACAATCCTCATAGCAGTGTCAGACTTGGTAACAATCCCCATAGCAGTGTCAGACTTGGTAACAATCCCCATAGCAGTGTCAGACTTGGTAACAATCCCCATAGCAGTGTCAGACTTGGTAACAATCCTCATAACAGTCTCAGACTTTGTAGCAATCCCCATGACAGTCTTACACTTGGTAGCAATCCCCATAACACAGTCTCAGACTTGATTACAATCCTCATAACACAGTTTTTGTTGTCATGCCACAGGTGCACAGCACTGGTGCCTTGGTGATTGCGGCCATGCTGGACTTCCTGACTTATGCTTTGTGTGCTCCGTACAGTGAGACCACAGATGGCACCCAGTTTGATCAGCTTTTGGAGATGGTAGCAGCTAATGGCAGGGTGGTGTTCAAGCTATTTCAGGTCAGAGAAAAAAATGATCTTTTACCTTTCAGGTTAGAGGACAGGATGTCCTGCGATGTCCATTTTTTGAGAAAATGAGCTTTTTGCTGCTTTTTTTGGTCTAGACCAAGCCACATATTTTCATCATTTGGAAAAATCTAAAAACCATCATCGTCCATCTCATTGCTCGAGAGAAAAAAGATGTTTTGAGGTGACTACTGATGAAGAAAAAAATGATTTATTGGTAATAGTCCATTTCAATAGTCTCAGTAGCAAAGGCCAGCAATGCAGAATACTTGTGTCTCTCATATCGGTTGACAAGATCAAGAACAGATGTCTTCGCCAGACTGAATATGAAGGGAAACTCCACCGTTATGACTATTTCTACTCCATCGGAGTGGAAAGATGTGGAGCTGCTGTTACAGTCCCCACCTGCTTCCCTGCACTTCTGCCAGTATTTGGCATGACCAAGGCTGGTTTTACATAAATTGGGAATCTTCATGCCTTACTTTGTAAAAAAAAAAAAAATGGACTAACCGATGAACTGTAGGTATATAAATCTTTCTGCATTTCAACACCCGAGATAATGAATATGGCGTTCGTTGTTCCCAAATCGCATTTCTAAAACCTCTGGTCTTATCTTGTTTCTCATTCTTGATGTCGGTATTCTCAGTGGTACATTTAAGTTTCATTGTGTGATTTCTTTTCTTCTTCTCTGCATTCCCCTGCTAGATATTAGGGTTGTCGACTGCTTGTTTTTCAACCTGCAGTGTAACTGATTTTGATGTATGCCACAGTTTTTCCAGCATAGTAGGGCCCAAGCCCTCAGGCCACCACATTCCGATTACGAAGTTACTTTATATAATTTTATACTATTAGAGTACTTCCAATTCGTCACCCGAATCACGTACGATCGTAACCGACATATCACCCGTAATCGAGTTAATAATACAACCCGATTACAATTTTTACATTCTAAATTCTGTCAAAATCTGGATTCGATACCTTTAATAGTCTCCGAGATACACGTGGTTCGTGAGGTATCGTATGCATCCTCTTGAATATAATTCAGAATCATGGACTAACGCAAGGGATGATATGCTGGTACGTGGATTGTCTCTTCCATCGTTTGTAAACTTGTATGCTCATGTTGTTAAGTCACGCACTAACGTAAGATCACTATTAAGCATTAATCTATGTGATTGCTGGGTTGAATTAATTTCATGACCATTACACATAAACTTTCTCTCTCTCTCTCTCTCTCTCTCTCTGTGTCTCTCTGTCTCTCTCTCTCTCTCTCTCTCTCTCTCTCTCTCTTTCTCTCTCTCT